CACTTTTGAAACCATTGCTACTAGCTTTTATGCTATATGTAGCGCGTACGACTACAAGGAATTGTGGAGTATTGTATATTACGTAAAATGTACCCACGGTCCAAAAGCACACAGGTGAGGTCTAGCTTGCTTTTTAACAAAAAATAGCTGTGAAAATACGGAAGTAAAAATCATGTTGTGGGTTTGAGAAATGTGACATTTGATAACAGATATGCATATTTATTATATCTTAAATATCACCGCGATTATTATGCCCTTTCTACAGCATGATTCGAAAGTCGAAATATAATATGTATATTGATATCATTTTAAGGAAAGTTCGATCTACCCTACTTGTACTGGATTCCTTAACTACGGGTCCAGCAAATGCTCTACCAACCATCTATCTTTACTCTTTATAAAATATTAAACTGCTGTACAGGAGAAACTTCAGATGTACTGTGTGTTACAGCACATTCTAGAAGTGGTGTAAATTAGCTGTAGATTTTCAAAAACTCCAAAGAACTTTTAGAAAATTGAAAACTGACAATTGTTTTTCACAAGTCGGTAACATCAAAACGTACGACTTTTCTACACTTTATATAACCTAGTTAGAATAATCTGTGTCTCGGGATAGGCCATCACCACAGTTAGAATGCCTCCCATATACCTGCAATGTAGCAGAAAATTGCAGAATCGCTCCGAAACTATTTTGAAGAAAATAAAGTTGCATTAAAAATAACTACCAAATTAATAATAATAAACATTTTTGAGACTGTGGATACCTTTCACCCAAAAATTTAATCCATATAATGGAAGAATTCAACACTTTTTCTCAACGAATTTTACTCGTTTCAAATTTGCACACATTCGGAACTCTCTGGAATTTATATAGTAAATGCACTGAATTAGAGTTATCTCCCGTGTTTTCTTTCCTAACGACAAAAATAATTGTGTACTTCTAATTCAGGAGACTAAGATACCAAAGAAACTTACAACAGTTGCGCAGGTCAGTGCAGTATACAAACACAAATACACCTAAGTGCAATAAAATGAAAACAAAGTTAATGTAAGAAAACCAGCACGAAGACGTGTCGCCTTTCCATACCGATACTCGTGACAATAAAGCAGTCAGGTGTAACGAATGCGAAGGGTATACCCCGGTGAGTATTTTGCCTATTTACGTGTCGTGTTCAGCTTTGAACCGGGTCCGTAGGACATTTATAATTTTAACGATAGAACTTTCTATCTATGTATAACCATTCCTCATCATGAAATAAAAACTAGGCTTTGTGATATACTTAAGTCTAGTAGTAGACAACGGCTTCTTAGAAAAAAAAGTAAGTCGGAAATTTTCGTATCTTGTGATTGTTCATCAACAAAATCACTCTGCTTCTACAGAAAGGTATATTCTTTGTATTCCTATCAAGCAGGACTTATTAAAAAAAACTTCTACATCATACGAAGAAAACACTTGTTGTGGCCTTCATCTCGATATTTAGATACATATCGATGTATTATCAATTAACAATAGTTACTTCCATTTATATGATACATTGTATATAAGTGTATGTTACAGGGATTTCAACGTTCTCGTTTAATTTTAGCATTTCGAAAATTCTATAGTCGTAATAATGACATTACAAGCAAATAAAACTATCATTGGGTTGTATCTTGGCTGACGTGTGTCCTTAAATTGTTAGGCCTTTGTTTTCTACTGAATTTGACTACGGAATGTTCTGACTACCAGAGTAATTAATACATGGGGTTCACGGCGGGTTTGACCGGTTGACAGGGGATGCTTACTACTTCTAGGCACCTGATCCCACCTCTTGAATTTCCAAGGGTCCATGTTTTATGTCCCTTTCACAGATTTTGAGATTATCTTCACCTTTTTCATTCTAAGACTATTTCACTGGTTAAAAACGACCTTACATTAAAATAAAGGCATATTTGTGTGCTTTCTTGAAACATCTGTACTACTTGTAGAAGATTCTCCATGGGAGAAGTATTTGTAAATGCATTTTATTGATTTTAATACTTTTATGTAACTTATACATCTTCTTAGTATATCTCTCAAATTTTTTTTCTGCTTAAAATCAATATATGCTTCTTAAGAATAATTATTTAATGACAAAACAATGTGCTTGTCATGAACAAAAGGTTGGTCCCCGTACCCTAAAGAGAGATCGATCGATATTTAAACAGTAAAGAAAACTAATCAATCTTATTTTTTTAATGTAAACAACCAAGGCAGTAACTGTTTAATATGCAACAGGAAATTAAATATTATTTTTAACAAATACTTATCCTTGATCGACCCCTTCTAATTAGTTTACCGTATGTTGTAATAAATCTTATTTTATTGGCCATTCTGTCGTACTATTTGGCCTTCACGGCTGTTTAATCGCAGAAGACAAGACAAGGTGCAGTAACACAGAACCTTTATTTTCATCGTTGATCATTAAAGCAAGTTATTGATTTTTCTCAATAGTTGAAAAGTACATGTATGTGATTTTTGTCCCTGACTTCGATATTTGTTGGTACTTCCCATGAGTATAGATCATTACAGATATAACATGAATGACCTTAAATTTACAATTTTGTACAAAGTTGCTGATACTAATCCAATAATTTTTATTTGAATAATATTCGAGAAAAACCTTGTTGAAAAAATATAATTTGCAATAGGAACAATGTTTTCAAATTTAGAATTGATCAACAAAGTCTTCTTTTCTTTTATTGCAATTAAACAAGTTATTACTTTTTGGTAATTGAAAATTTTTAATATTAAGTTATTTATAAATATATTAATTTAAAAAGTCATTAAAAAATTCCGGAAAACAGAAAGTATTGCTTTAAACGAACATAATGAAACATTGTTTTGTTATAAAACTCAAAAACTGAACGGAAAAAATGACATGATTGATTGTTTTCCTGTCAAGTAAAAGAGAAAAAAAAATATATTTCATCAAATTCCCACGTAGTTATTATCATTTTTTTCAGAAAATAACAAAAATATCGTTATCACTTCCTCTCCAAATGCAGATACCAATTACCATTTCAAATTGTGCGTATCGAAAATGGATTAATTTAATTTTTAACAATGTAAAAGAAGTGTCTTTGTGTGATGTTTAATAAAATGCATTTCAAAGAAATATATTGCATACTTATCCTTATCTCTACGTTGGTCCTATTCGGGGTGCTTAAAGTGCAAGTTGTTTATAGTGTTATATATAAGGTTGATCTAAATATATTTATTTATCGACACGAAGAGTCTGAATGACTTACAATGTATAATAATACATTTTCAATTCTATAGTCCTTTTGGTCCCCCGCTTCCGCGAAAACGAGGGGACTTTAAACTTAATTGTCTGTCACAAAAACTTTTACCTTGTTCAAAACTGAAATGGGGCTTTCCTATTTCACATGTACGTTACCTTTAACAAGACCTTTCCATTTTTTTTGACCCCGTGACCTTGACGTTTGACCTACATTCAAAAATGTAAACATTACTATAAATTGGTCGTAAAGTTTTAATGATAAAAGATATAGGGCTTTCATATTACAAATGTAAATTATCTGTGATACTGTGGTTTTTAACCCCTTGACCTTGAAGTTTGATCTACTTATTAAAAAGTTTATCTTTGTTTACAACTTTTGAAGATACTGTGGTTTTTGACCCCTTGACCTTGAAGTTTGACCAACTTTTCAAAAATTTTATCTTTGCTTATAACTTTTGATTGAGAGAAGACAGGGCTTTCATATTTGACATGAAATTTACCTTTGACAAGATGTTTCCGAGCTTGTTATGGTTTTTGACCCTTTGACCTTCATGTTTGACCTACATATATTTGCAAAACTTTGGTGGTTTCTAATGACGTGATAGGGAATTCGTATTTAACAAGTGCTTTACCTGTGTCAAAATGTTTCCGAATGTGCTATGACCTTGACCTTCAAGTTTGACCTAATTTTCAAACATTTTATCAATGTTGCTAAATTCTGAAGGAGCGAAGATTAGGACATTCATATTTGACGTGTGCATTACCTGTATCACATATTTCTAAATGTACTTTGATTTTTTTTTTAAATTTCAAAAATTTTATCATTGCTTATAACTTTTGATTGCATTGATAGACACACAAACAAGACGGGTACAATATGCCATAATTAATGGCATCCCATCCACTAAGACACCGAAACTGGAGGACCACAATTCTTTGAATTTGCCTGTTTCATCATATTTTACAAATCAGAACAAGTCAAAATTTTTATCATTTCAAAGATTGTGAAAGTTAACATTACAAACTTGCGGTAGTTTTTAGATACTATCATAATATCTTTTGGATGTTAGGTACTTTGCATTTAATATGTGAAAACGAGTCTTTACAGATAAGGGATGTCATGCGAATTTTTGATTATGAGAAAATTACGTCATGCAATTTTCAGAATCTTTTATGAGTTTATGATTCCTATGACCATAATGTCTTGGGGGTTTTCTGATTAACGCTAATTAAAATTGAAATCACCAAAAATAACCCACGGGCAATTATGGAAGTAACATTCAATCACTCTGAAATATTTATTTAGTAAAAAGCATATATACTTTATTGATTTTGACACTAATTAATTTCGCTTCTCCTATGGCACACTAAGTAAATGTATCCCTCATTCTCCTGCCTATAAGTATTATGAAGAAATATTATTGTCCTGTAAAAAATTAAGAATGCTGGTCTTATTTTGTTTGCTCCTTTTAAAACCAATCTTCGTGATAGCCAACTCGTGACAGAAGCCGATATTATAAAGTATTATAAACTATTAATACAGTAATGATTGCAGATTATCGTGCATCAAGATATGAAATATCGAATTTTCGAAGGGTATTTCTGGACTGTTAATTGCTGACAGATGACGGAAATGCTTCCAGTTAATTTGAGTAGGATTTAATTGGAAGGGATATTTGTTTAAGCACCCAAAAGAGCAAACATTTCGTTTATTGTTCTCTTTTATTTTATTTTCAGACTGACGACAGTGGAATCATATCATGTCTGGATCACAGGTTGTATTCCTTTTCTTATACATTTATTATTAATTAAGCATTAAATCAAATCCAAAGTAAAACTGCAGTTAAAAAAAAAAAAAAATTTCATTTGCATTTTTTCTCTTGCCAGAGTGAAGAAGTTAGCATTTTGCAAAGGTATTCGGAAGGACAGATAAGAGGTATTGTTAATTGTTAACATTCTTCTTCCTATAGTCTTTTCAAAATTTGATAGTGTCCAAATGAGATTAATACAAGCAAAACATTATCAATATTTGCTCGAGTATGAGTTTCCATTGAGTTTCTTTAACAACAATATGGTATAATATCTATTATAATAATAACATCATTCCAAATAATTTTAAAAATTAAACAACAAACGATAAATGACAGAATGAATAAAAGTTTATGGTACATGCATTGACTTGTAAATTTTACCCTTGTGCACTAGAAAGTGCAAAATAATGGTCATGACACACACAGGCATAGAATTTTCAAGAAGACCTCCTACGCTTAAATATAATAGGGTAATCGGCGTTACACTCCATTCTCTCTGTTCGAAGAGCAGAACTTCAGTATGCTAACCGTTGACTATCCGTCAGTCTGTAATCATTTTTCTTCTCAAAATACTGCTTCAGAAGTAGTCCACAATGATATACTTAAATTGCAATTCGTTTCTCAATTTCGATGAACGGCATCACCTTGGCAACTAAAATAGAAAATTCTAGAGACAAAATTCTTTAAAAATGCTGCTCTTCTTAGGCATTAGTCTGATAAAAACAAACCTTTAACCTACTTTAAAAATTTTTAACCGTTATATATTCTATTAAAGAAGATATGGATTAAGTTTATATTTCACGTTTTTCACCTGTTAAAGCCTTTATAACTCATGACTTTGAATTTTGATCTGTGTTCCAGAAGTTTTTAATCTTCGCCACAACTTTTTCACCAGAAGTTACATGTACATGACTTTCAGACATTTTTACATATAAATTACCAGTGACAAGACCTTTTTCAATGTTCTATGATTTTTGACCTCATGACCTACATGTAGATATCGATGTTTGACTTAAAATCTAAGCCTTTACTTTTGCACCAGTACATATATTACTTCCAAAACTTCTTTTATCATGATTTACAGATGAACAGACAAGACAGAAAAGACAAAACTGTTACAATATTCTATAAATCACTGCACCCTCACATATACATGTACGGTGCAAGTCCCTGAACGCGGGGGACCACAAGTCTCTGAATTTTAAAGTTGTTTATGTGCGTAACATGCTAGAGGTAATTGCTGTTAATTAAGAAAATACGACAATTTGCCCTCAATAACAGTCAGAAATCATTAACACCCAATTTTCAGTGGTTTAGAAATGTTTCCGTGAAGTAATTGGGTCATTGGGATTATTGTTGTGGTAGAAAATGGCGACGCCGGGTACTAAAATTTATGAAGGTTAGTTGGATTTTTCAGATAAGTGTCTAGTCTCGTTTGTTTCTTATGCTCAAGATTCGTTTAAGTCCAAATTCAGGAATAGTTTAGCTCTCAAATCATTTTTAGCAATCGATCATTTTAAGTATTTATTTCATATAGTTTGCGTTTTGTTTAATTCGAATAACAGTAGGAATGGGGAACCTTATTTTTTTTTTCTTACAGACAAAACGATGAAAAAACAAAAAAAAAACGTTTGTATTAAGGAAAACTATCGAGAATAAGAATTGATTTTAAATTACATTACACATCTTTTTTGCTATTATTATAATTTTTAATGAACAAGATGAATGAATATATATATTATATATATATATATATATATATATATATATATATATATATATATATATATATATGATGGGTAAAAAATGACAATCTGTCTGACTGTTTAATTAATTGCCAAACTCCTTTAGAAAGATGACGTATCCTGGGAACTTCATATTTTCATCTAATATTGTATTGTAAAATATAAATTTTTATGACGTGTTGAAGTATCAAATAAAGATTTAATTAGTGTTTTTCGGGCATTTCCATTGAAGAAAAAAAATCTTTGACGTCAAGATATTATATAACGTATTTTTTTCCGAATTATTTTTGCAAGCAGTTTAATACATGTATATTAATTTTAAATCGAAATATTAAATCTGATAAAAATGTCTGTACTTCCTTTTGTATTTGAACTTTTATATCTTAAGTACTTAAAACCATTATTAAAACTGAAAATATTTTCAGAACTTCGAGAGGCTTTTCGGCTTTTTGACAAAGATGGTGACGGGTCAATCACAACGGATGAATTAGGAACTGTGATGAGGAATCTCGGACAATTTCCTTCCTCAGAAGAATTAAACTTGATGCTGAAAGAAATTGACATTGATGGTATGATAAACATTCAAAAGTGTGCTATGGTTTATCATAAAATAGTTTTCAAAAAAAAAAAAAAAAAGAAAAAAATCAGTGAATCTCCACTTTAAACAGCAGCCCCTCCCCCCACCTCTAAACGAAATTGCTTTGGGAGTACACTGAAATCATCATGCCTGTCTGTCTGACTGTATTTTTTTATCCGAATATTATCTCTGATATTGTTTAAGATTTTTCTATAAAACTTTGTGAAAAAAACACTTTTAAGGTTAAAAAAGTGCTTGTTTTTTATGATTAATTTGTCAATTAATATTGAAACGGTGGTATATTGCTAAATTGAGGGAAGTTAAAGTCATCACATTGATCACATGAATTTTAATTGCTGGTGTGCCACCAATGTCTAACTCCTCTTGTTAAATATCTAAATAAGAAGCATTTGAATCAGACTCTGGTGCCTCTTATTTTGAATTCAATGGTATATATCGAATCAACGTATAAATTAGGGACAATGTCAATGAGTATTTTTGATTGGCAAAATGTCCTCAATGTACAGTGTAACGAAATGAGAAAACTACAGAATTTCTTCTATGTAGAAGCTTTTGAATAAAATCTGCTTCACAAAATGCAAACAAAAAAAAAACCCAAACAAAACAGGTCGGCTAATTCACATGGGCACAATTAGTGTTCATGTGAATTTCAACAGATTGTTGGAGGAATGGTCTCCAAAAACTACGTAAGGGTTAAACATGATGTAATTAATACATAACCATGTTCTCAAATTATCTGGTAAAATATTCATTTTCTTTCATATTTAATAAATGCAATATATTTTAGAAAATCATCTTCTCTACTGTTTGATGTCAAGCAGTCAAAGTGTTTGCATCATTATGATAAAGCACTTGATTGATTACAACGAGTAATTATCCCTTTACTAAAATTTTATTCATATTCTTTACCTCTGGGTTCAGGCCCAGATGTGGAACCTAATTGGTTATACATGTATATTGAAATAACACTAGTTTTGAAAATTTTCTCTACCCATGGGTCTTTAGCAAGGAAACTATTTTCTTGTTTATAATATCTAATTCTTTGCCTTTTCTAAGTTAAGTGTTCCAGGATTGGGCTAATTTAATTGTCATTTGCTAAAAATAGATTACACCAGTGAAAATGTTTCTTTTTTATTTATTGACATCTAAAAGGCAGACTGATTAAAAGATTTAAATAAGTGTTTAACTTAATTCATAAATTATGACAAAATTTAAAATGCATGATCCTGTGGCTCTGTAGACCCCAGGATGAGGCTAATATACTCGTATAGATACATTATCTACACATTTGAAAATCCGTGGGCAAAGTAGATATCGACAAAAATTGTAAAACTTATTGCCCCTCGGTCCAGTGTTTACGCCCATAGGATTGGACCAAGTTGATCTTTAACCTACCATAAACTGATGGATTCATGCAGTCAATAGGTTTGTGTGATTATAATGAATAGTTAGGCCCGTACAAAGTTATGAAATTCATGCTTGGGTTTTCTTTGTTTGTTTGTTTATTGTTTAACGTCCCTCTCGAGAATTTTTCACTCATATTGAGACCTCACCACTTGCCGGTGGAGAGCTACAAATTTTGACCTATACTCGGCACTCAGGGCCATTGAGAAGTGAGGGATTTTTTTCGTGCCAGCACCTACTGCGACACGGTCTCATCCGAAGGACCGGTCTCCACGTCCCACAGTGGGATTCGAACCGGCAACGTAAGGATCAACTAACTCCGCGACTCTAGAGCGAACGCTCTAACCACTGCGCCACGCGGGGGACCATGCTTTGGTAAACAAACTGTATGGTTGTAATGAGCAGCTAGCCCTCTAACAAAGTTCGCTGGGTCCAGAATTGCAACGCAGATGGTCATAGATACCGTGTTACTCTTTAAAGTACCTTTGAAAATCTACGGTTAATGGACGGACATTAAGCAAGCATACTCTATGCACAGTGGCCGTACATTCTTTGCCTTGTACCCGGTGGGTGGGGGGGGGGGGATTGTTAACACTATTTTTGCGTGTTTCTATAGCGCATTTTGAAATTGATCCCCAAATTAAAGTTGTAAGGACTGAATTTTGTGGATTTGTTATGCTTAACATAAACGAAAGTTTTGATTGGCTTAACATATACAAAGTAAATTAAAGATAACATAAACTATTAGAAGTAACTTAAAGATCTAATTTTTATTTTCCTTATGTCTCAAAAATTAATGAACTAAATCTCAAAATTTCTTGCAGGTGACGGAACATTCAGTTTTGAGGAATTCGTTCAGGTTATGGCAAACATGGGAGGGATATCTGAACAGTCAGCTGAGGATGAGGAAGAGGAGCTGAGACAGGCATTTAGGGTGAGGACTGTTTGAAGGATTAACAAAAAGATAACCTTTAGTTTTCATAGGAAACTAAAGATGGGTCTGATTTCCCAGGTAATGCAGACAGCAAATATTTACTTCCGATTCTTTATGTATTTTTAGATTGCTTAGAAAATAAAACTTTTTTACTCACTCATGTGATTGGAATAAGAGTCTTATATGCATTGTTGGTCACCTGACGATCATGAATCTCGGGATATGACTTATACGATATGACTAAGTCAGATCTACTAGCGATTTCAACTCTAGAATTTTGTGACAGGGATTTCCAAACTTGGTAGAGAGTTGTTTTGTTTGTCTATTGTAAAAAGTTCCTAGATGCTCAACATGATGTTAACACTATATAATAAAACAAGCACTCTGAAAGTATTACATAAGCAATATACTATAGTCCCCTACTGGCAAGTGCAATCTGGTTCCCCTTAAATATGAAAAAGGACACAATTCCATAAAAAAATCATTCAAGCGGAACAAAATGCAAATTGACCCGTAACTCATTTAGGTAGACTCACATACCAAAAACTAGCTCAATATCTGCAAGCGTTTGGGGAAAAGTGCGAAAAAACAACTGGGAAATCTGGTTTCCCAAGGCCATAACTCTTTCAACAACATGTGCTTGTGAAACACTGATACCCCGTATGGCAAATTATAGCGAAGGTTAAACTTTCTCTAATGCAAATCAAATATGTTGGTACCCAAAGTAAGGTCTTGTCTCGAGGAAAATACCTGCGAAATATGAAAGCCCTAGCAGCAACTATTGAAAAGATATGGAAAAGGCTAAAGTTTTTTCAAAAGTAAGTCAAACATCAAGGTAAAGTGGGCAAAATTGATAATGCCTCAGTAAAGGCCTTCACAAAAGAAATACACATGTGAAATATGATAGCCTTAGCACAAACCGTTCAAAAGTTAAGTCATGGTCAAAATTAAAGTTTTTCGAAAGTTGGTCAAACTCCAAGGTCAAAGGGTCAACGTTGTTGGTAGCCAAAGTAAGGTTTTATCACAGGGATTACACATGTGAAGTATGAAAGTAGTAGCTCTAACTTCATAAGTCATGGCCAAATTAACATAAAGTTTTCCAAAAGTAGGTCAAACTACACTGCAAAAACTATATGCCCCGAATCTTTTATTACGGACCGGGGGGGGGGGGGGGTAGTAAAAATCATCGAAACGAAACGAAATGCCAACTCTATCTGTAATTCATCAAGATGCACTCATTTGCAAAAATGCAAACGTTTAGGAAAAATGTGCGGAAAACAAAGTAGGACAGACTGACAGAGTGTCAGGAAGACGGAGAGGCGAGGAAGAGCCCGATAGGGGACTTATAACCACTTCATAATTTTAATTCTTTCGAAGATCGCCGATTTAATTCTGACTTGGTTATCGTCTATCATCACGAACTTGTGTTAATGCGTGTACAGTGGAATTTACTCAAAATGATTTCATTATAAGCGGATTGTCTGGATCATAATTTTACTTCCTCTTGTCCCCTTGACAGACACAGTGATAATTGTAAAGTAAAAAGATAATCTAACCTTCTTAGAGTAGGCAATCCTGGGAGATGGAACTTTAAATGCTACTTAATTGTACAAAACAAATTTGAAGTATTAAGAGTGAAGGTACATGCCGTGATTTGATGAGGCATTAAATAAAAATATCTTGACAAGCCAAAATTATATTGATTAGGTTAAGTATTTGTAATTATTGGTTTCATGTTTTATTATTTATAACAGGTTTTTGACAAGGGAGGGTGTGGCTACATTACTGCATCTGATCTAAGAGCAGTCTTACAGTGCATGGGAGAAGATCTTACAGAGGAAGAAAGTTAGTCAAGTTTAATGACCATTGAATATCCGTGAGATTGTTGAAAATTAATCATTGATAATTCGTCCTGTAGGGAACAAACCAGTGATTAAACTTTCATTAACGTTCATTAACAAGTACAACGTCATTATACGTATAATCATGTTCAAACGATGTACCTAGTGTTAAAAACACCCATTTAAAATTGCTGATTCTATAAAGTCGGTTTTTCTTCCTTGTTTGTGTGTAAGGTTGTGTGTGCACGTGTGGAGGGGTTATAAAAATAGAATTTAGATTAATTTTTAAAAAAAAAAATTATATTTGCAGTTGACGAAATGATTGCTGAAGTTGATATCGATGGAGATGGTAGAATAGATTTTGAAGGTAAAAAAACTACCTTCTGTGAGAAGTATTTATTCACGTTCAGAATTCTGCTAAAATAAGTGTCCATTTAAAAGTATCTGTGAAAACATAATATTCAATAGAGAAATACTTTGAATAAATGCAAAAAAATATTTCTAACATTTAAAAAATTCTGTTGTTTCTGTAGAATTTATCGCATGTATGTGTGAAGACAAAACTGACACCAAGAGGCAAGATCCCTTTGATGATTGATCAACAATTGCAACTGACACCAACATAATTATACATTATCATCGTCAACAAAATCCATAGCTGGGAAATAAGCTCCAGTGTTCAAATCTGTCATTTCCAATAAAGTGAATGAATTAATATTAGCTTTATTTTATCCTTATACTTTTACATACACTGAATTTTATAATTCCCCGCTTTCACGAAAGCGAGGGGACATTGAATCTCGTTTGTCCGTCAGTCTCTCTGTCACAAAAAATTTAACCATGGTCATATCTTCTAAATGGGAATAGATAGGACTTTCATATTTCACATGTAGGTACCTGTTACAAGATCTTTCCAAATACTCTATGATTTATGACCTAATGACTTTAAAGGTTGACCTACTTTTCAAAATTTTAACATTAACTTGGTCATAACCTTTGAATAAAAAGCAAGGCTTTTATATTTCACGTGTACGTTACCTCAGACAGAACCTTTCAAATTGTACTATGATTTTTGACCCCGTGATCTTGACCTTATTTTCAAACATTTTGACATTGGTGATAACATTTTTAATGAAAAATTGATTGATTGAATGTTGTTTAATGTCCCATTCGAGAATTTTTCACTCATGTACTTTTGAATGAGAGAAGATAGGGCTTTCATACTTTATGTATGCAAGTACATTGCCTACAGTGTATGACAACACCTATCAGAAAGTATTATCCTTTTTTGCTTCATTTCCTTGACCTTTAAGTTTAAAGGACACACAAACATGTCATAAATAGTTGCACCCCAACCACTAAGACACCGAAAGCGGGGAACCTCAATTTTTATTTTGCTTTTTTCCTTTCTTTCTTATGAAATCCATTATCAATCCATTAACAATAAGCTATATATAAGAACCATTTTTAAAAACAATTTGTTTGAAAGTTTAAGAAGTTGATCCTGGGCCAGGTCCCAAAGACCACAAACTGAGAACAGACGAGATGACATCAGCTTTTTTTACGTCAACTTTCCTTATTTATGAAGAAATATTCCGCTATCACGCGTATATATATAGCGCTCACGGCAGGTGTGACTAGTCGACAGCGGTGCTTACTCCTCCTACATGTAGGCACCTGATCACATCTCTGGAATTAACCCTTCACCTTGACGCAAATGCCGGTTCAAAATTGCGGCGTCGTTATTTTTCCCATCAGCTAGGAAGGGACCTAGAATGTCCAAAATATAGCCATCTGAAGCAACAATTATCAAAGGCTTAACTAATGGACGACCCTTGCAGATAATTATTTTTTGTTTTTGGAAAAGTGTACTTCGAACTTTTCTGAATGTAACATCTATTAACAATATGGTAATATTTTTAACTTCCACAAACTAATAACTCTGGGTGCAAATGTAGATGTGTGATTTGAAATTACATCATCTCCAGAAATGTGATCAACACCGATGTATTTTGGCACGAAATATTGCATTATTGCTTCCCTTGCGCGTTTCACTATGCGACATATATACTTACAGCAACTAATATTAAATAAAGTTTTCAACATACTGAAAGACCTGTTCTCAATTCGTTAACAAAATGCCTACTGCAGTTCTATTAGAATGTTTTCTATTTCTCGAGTTTTTCTCAACCATAGAGCAAATAGTATTGATTTGATCTTTTGAAATTCCGGTGAGATTTATGTAATCTTCACCGTTTCGAAAATCGGGGTTATCAAAGTCAATTCTTACACACTCTTTCTTAAGTAGTAATTCTCTACATTTTGACAATTGCTGTAAAAGGTCATTGTTTGACATAGGAAACGATCTGCGTGTCAGTCTGAAAGAGTACTTTTGGTATTCTGATTCTATTATGGAGTTACCCGACAAATAGGAAGGACAGGAACGTGCATTGTCATGAAATAAGATGTTGTGTTTTAAAAAGAAATCAGAGCGGCATTCTTGAGATATTCTGTATCGTTGTTTCCTTTTCATTCCACATATGGCACAATACCGGTATGATTTTGTTCCCAGGTAGAATGTTGTAGCATTAACTTTGTCCTCAGAATTCTCCGATTTGGAATTTTTCTCTAACTCAACCCTATAATTCCGTATATAACACTTAAACACATACAGTCATTTTCCCCCACCCGTCGCCCAAGCAGTGCGGAGAGTTTCTCCCTTAAAGTTCCATTTTTCCCACCCTTCAAAAGCCTACGTCCGCCGAAACATGGCTGAAATATTGCCGACTCGGCGTTAAACAATCAATCAATCTAAAACCTACGTCGCTTAAGGGGCACCTGTTTTTTTTTGTTTGTTTTTTTTTTATACAAACAATGCAACAATAGTGTTTTGGCATGGTTTTTCTCCGTATGAAATATCCTTATCTGTAGATAATCAAATGTTTTACATATGGAGAAATGATGTACAGTTTATTCATGAGGTTGCTCCAACGTGATTTACTTCTCATTAATATTCATAAGATCCTTCATAAACTCGAAATATTCCATTTCTTTAAATTTTTAAATTAAAACATGCAAGCACAGTTTGTTTTGTTTTTTAAGCCTCCGTCATAGTTATTTGGGCAGAGTTTTGGGTTATTAACAGTTGGCAACTCATGAAACCATCTTTCTTTGGTAATAAGTAGGTCACACTGATGCAAGAAATTGCCGTTTTCAAATTAAAAAGGCGGTCGTAACTCTTCATGAAATGATAAATCATCTGTATTTTATAAAAATAGGCATTCGTCTGCACCTATTAATCGGCGGAAGAACTCTGTCAACTCGAATAAACACTTACATTTAATCACCAAAAATGATAAAGACACCAATTCTGTGTTCTTTCCTCCATTAAAACATTATACTCTCGCTTCGGAATTTCAAATCTAAAAGGCGGTCGCAACTTTCACTTTGGTATCAACAATCTTGTCATTTCCGGTCGGTAGAAGATATTTAGAAGAATCAAACCATCGGCGGAAGAACTTTATCCGAAATAGTAGGATATAAAAATTCGCAATTTTTGTATTTTCTCTATATAAACCTTAATAAATTTGGCCGCCATTATAGTTCCAAAATGGCCGATATGCAAATCAGCAGAATGAACACCATTTCTCCAAATGATCCCCTTACTTTACCGACTTACCTTTGTCAAGTATGACGATCACTTAAACAAAATATGAAAGTTTAAATGGCAATTTTCTACAAAATATACAACCTGCACCAAAAATAATAGATAACTTTTAAAATGTGATCGTAATTTACAACACTACACCCAACTAGATATCATTGAGATGGTGGCCATCTCAAAGGGCCCCGCTCTCAGCGACGAATATGAAAATGTAAGGTAGCTGAAAAGGGCTTACTAATATTTTAAAGAGGAACATTTGTGTACTATTAAGGGATGTGTTGTTTGAGTCTAAAGGGCTTCTGTGTCATCCTTGTTATAAAATAAAAATGGCACGAAAATCACGAGTGCTCCATACCCTCTATCAAAAAACGGCACGCAAATCTTGAATGTTGCATATCCTCTATGAAAATTGTTGCTTATCCTGTGTCAAAATATGGAAGGAAAATCACAAATGTTCCGTACCCAAAGTCAATTGGTAAAGTTCGAGGCTGAATGGACTTAAGAGAAAGAAATTATGCGCCGAACAAAGATTTTAAACAGAGAGACTATTTTTGTTGGCCTAGAGACTTCGTTCAATGTCACAGCACATCCATTGACCAGTGGCACTCTGTGAGTGAAGTATGAGCCACATTGGACCACGAGGAGAGAAGATATGCTCCGGACAAGGATTTTTCATATAATTCTGCTATGAATTTAACCTTAGACCTAGAAACATGGTTCATAGTCACTGCACACCCTTTAGCCAAAGACACTCTGTGGGTGAAGTATGAGCCAGATTGGGCCAAGGAGAGAGAAGATATGCTCCGGACAAGAGATCTCGGACGTACGGACAGACTGATCACTATAGGGCACCCGCAGAGCGGGGCCCTAATAAACACCAAAAACAGACCATACAGTGCTGGGGGCGAACGATTTAAACGTGTCAGCGATTTACAGTGAGCACATTTTACAAAGTTTAACGTTTACCTGGATAGAACCCAGTGACTAATTAAAAATATTCATTCCTCAGGTGGGTTCATCCTGGGTCACGCCAATAACTGCTCCCGCTTGCTATAGGAAAAACATTTAAAGTTTTCTTACATTTTTCATTTTGTAAGTACCAGCTTAATCGTGTACAAATTTCTTCATTTCACAGAAGTTTTCTAAAGGTATTATAACAGTGCGACATTTAACTCCGGACACGACATTTGTCCGGACTTTCGCCAACCACTTTTATAAAGATACATGTCAACCATTTATGTCATTTGATGGGATTATTTAAAACTTAACACATGAACCAAAATTTACACCTGATTATCTTCTAGGTAAACAGATATTATACCTGTATCAGGAAATCACATGGGATAGTGGTGGGATTTCTTCTCCTAACCAATATCCCACCATTATCCTATGGGAGAAAAGGTATCCCGTGGGATTTTTTCTCCCATTGAAATTTGAAAATCCTATTAATTCTTTATAATGGAACAAAATCTCCCATATACTTGAATATAGGAGATAATCTCCCATCTCTTTATAAATATGGGATTTATCCCATATTCTTAAAAAAATGGTCAAATTTTCTCCCATGGGATAAAGACACAACAGTTTTAACCCAAATAAAGAAACAAGTCATTTAGTGAACAGTTTAACTATCATTTATTTTGATTAAAGTTTTGTGTTTCCTAAACCATTTTTTTTTATTTCTTAAATTTAAACAATTTGGGGTAATGTTTAAAAATAATTTCAATATAATTAAAGATTATAATAGCACTAAAAATCAAAAGTTCTTTTATGATAATTCTCTATGACACTGAGTTTTCAAGTAAAAAAATTTCCTGTGTATCAAGACTACATTGCTACACTAAATTATAAGCTGAAAAATGACATGGAATTGGATTGTATCAGTTACACAGAGTTTCTAAGAAAGTATAAAACCTTATTCAATTGCACAAGCTGTAATAATTTACCACATTTTCACTTCTAATTTTCTTTGTGAAATGATTTGCTCCAATGACAGCTGGAAGTTATATTATACACAACGAACCCGATCAAATGAACGGAAAATAATGTTG